GACATATGTATTCCCATATTAATTAAGCAACTCGAGATATTTGGGTTTTATTCAGGATACAAGCTTAACTTGAATAAAACTCAGATTTTAACATTCAACTATCTCCCATCCAAAACCATAAAACAAAAATATAATTTGAATTGGAGAGCAACAAAAATGAAATATCTTGGGGTAACCTTATCACAAAACGTTGAGGACTTATATAAACTTAACTACGTTAACTTAGATAAGGAAATTAAGAGTGATTTGAATAGGTGGGCTACTCTTCCATCAGATATTGGCGCTCAAATAGAGACGATAAAAGTATGTGTCCTACCCCGACTTCTCTACTTTTTTCAGTCACTACCCGTTGATATACCTGAAAGACAATTTAGATTATGGGACAAAATTATATCTAAGTTTATATGGAATGGTCATAGACCGAGAATTAAATTTGAAACACTACAGATAAGAAAGGACACGGGGGGTTTGGCACTCCCAAACCTTGAGGCTTTATGCTGCACAAATCAGGTACATCATTTGTTGGTGTGACAATGATTATGAAGCCAAATGGAAGAATTTAGAAAAAATCAGAACAAGGAAGAGAAATTCAAAGCTGAATTCAGTCACTCAGTTTACGCTTAAAATATGGTTTAACCTGATACGAAAATACAAACTAGAAAAAGAGCTTGGATTAATCTGATGGATAGCCTATGATGAGGGTTTTACACCCGGTTCTATGGACCAAAGATTGAACAGTGGATTCCTACTGGATTAACAGAGATGTGTACACTAATTAAAGATGGGAATTTTATGAGTTTCCAGGAGATTAAACAAAAATATGACCTAAGTAATCAAGATCACTACAGATATTTACAGATTGGGGACTTTTTTAATAAAGAAGTAAAACATAGTGTAGATCTGGATAAAAATTCGATAATTAAATCCATAACTGAAGTTTACAAAGCAAAAAAAATTAGAGTAATCTCTACAATTTCCGAGCATATAATGGAGGCAAGAGGGTGTACAACAACATATGTAAAACTGAAGTGACAGAGAGAGTTGGGAGTGAACATATCTGATGAGGAATGGTCACAAACCTGGAAAACACAGCAGTCAACAACATCATCACGCGCCTGGAGACTGCACTGCTGGAAAAATGGTAATTAGATTTTTTATAACACACAAAATTAAGAACAAACATACCTCATTACCACAACCGTGTTGGAGGGGCTGTGCAGAGGTAAATGTGAATCATTCCCATGTTTCTGGTTCTGTCCCAAGATTACAAAATGTTGGGAAGATGTTCATTTAGTTATAGGTAAAATTCTGGGTTATGCTGTATCTAAGACTTGTACACTATTATACTTTGGTGTCATTACGGGAAATGTGACGAAAGAAGACAGATACATATTGAAAATTATGCTTGCTGCCTGTAAAAAGGCAATTACAAGAACATGGAACAAGATAGACCCACCATCACAGGACGAATGGATCAAAATTATAGATGAAATACAAACTATGGAACAACTGACCTACAGAATAAGGACTCAGGAAGATCAATACCATAAAAAGTGGGAGAAATGGACTGAGTACATAAACCCAACAGGATAAAGACCAACACATTGATAATGAGAAATGATCAAACTGTAGAAACAAAGAGATCCAACATGTTTGTTTTGTTTGTTTTGTTTGTTTTTTGTTATCCTACTTGTTGTATTTATCTTTTTGTTGTTGTTGTTGTTGTTGTTGTTGTTTTGTTGTATAGTGTTTGAAGAAAAACAATAAAAAGAAAGTTTTAAAAAAAGAAAAGAAAGGAAAAGAAATCAGCCACTCTACTACAACCAGAGAAAATGCTGAAAACATCACCCACTAGTGCATAGGTGTCAAACTCTGGCCCACGGGCCAAATTTGGCCCGCAGCCTAATTACATTTGGCCCGCAAAGCCATACCAAATTACTATTAGAGCTGGCCTACTGGTATTATACAGCTAATATATATATTGTTTAGTATTAAGCTTTGCTTGTTCCATATTCAGTTTTCCAGAAAAACTTATTTGAGTCCATAAGAAAAGATTCATTTTTATATCTGGAGGAAGATTTTTTTTTTTTCAATAAATATTAATGTTAGCCTGCGACTTTGTTCCAGTTTTGAATTTTGGCCCACTGTGTATTTGAGTTTGACACCCCTGCACTAGTGGAAAGGAAAAGATAAACATTTCTCCCCCATTTTCCACCCAGCTGCATTAGAAATGTGAATGAACTGATATTCGTCAGGTGAGAACTCAAAGTGCTTTCTAAGACACAGTCACAGACACAGCTAACATGGGATAGTTAGTGATGGCCTTTTCTGTCTTTCTTGCTGTCTTAGTGTGAATATACCGTTTTGGGAGCACAGACACATATCTCGGTCGTAAAGTCTGTATTAGGTACATCTGCGTGCACTCACAGCACCAAACTATCTGCTCTTATGACACGAGTCACACGACCTGTTCTTTTCGTGCAACTATCGCAGCAGCAATCCCACCGCAGCTGCTGCACAAATGGCGTAGTCAGCCATAACGTTACAGAAGCTGTAGGTGGCAGTGTAGACCTTTGGGCCGAGTTCTGACTGACCGAAGAAGAAGAAGAAAAACAACCTTCCTCTTCGTCTTAACAGGCGTTACAAAACAAGCTGAGCTCGCAGCCCCGGCTTCTCTGATGCTTCGCAGCGAATGGGGTTTGATCAGTTCTGTAGCGTGGACAGGTCCGATCCCCTGTGGGTGAGTTACATGTCACGGACACCGTGTCTTTTCCTCTAGCTTTAAACTCTCGTAGTTGGCGTTACCGGTGCCGGTACATGCTAATAGTAAGCCACGGCAAGTTGCGTGTTATTTAGTCACGTCAGACGCACTTCTCTCATTATAAATCCTTGTTACAGCTGATCGTTGAGCCTCCATTGGCCGAGTTCACGTTTTCTCTGATCTGAACATCGGAGGGTTCGCAGGAGAACAAGTGTTCACCGAGCTCGTGTTTGTGTTGTTCCCTCTCGTTTCCTGGTCTGTAGGAACTCATCAGTCCCAGCACACTCAGGCACCGGTAACAGCAACCATGGTGCATCTACCAAACACATCCTGTAGAACAGGAAGGTTTCTGAGGGGGAATAGCTCATGACTTTAGTAGGTTTATTGCAGTGAATGGGTGTGTTGTCAGAAAATGATTGGCTGTGATTAGTCTCTATCCTTTATTAGTTTCAGGTGTGTGTTTGTTTCAGGTGTTGCTCTATACCGTGACTGGTGTGATCAAACTGAGGATTATGTTTAGTTGAAATAACAAAAATAAAAATGTTGCTGTTTATTGATATTTCCCAGCTGATGACTTTGGTAGGTCATATTTTTGCCACAGACTTGGCAGCAGCTGGTACGTAGGTTATGGTTTCTTTTGTTTGCTCGGGACATGAAATCATCATGCTTTGAAACTGCAGTCAGGTGATGGTATCACAACCCTGGTTACCATCTTTCACTGTTTGCCAAACCTTTTACGTCAGGCTCCTGTCACATAACAGGGAGGGGTTGATATCGGCTGTAGCAGGTAGTAGAGCAGGTCATCTACTAACTGGAAGGTTAGTGGTTTGATCCCAGTCTGCTTCATTCTGCATGTTGCAGGTTGCTCTCCGATGCATCCGTCGGAGTGTGAGTGTGTATGAATGCTAGTTAGATAGCACTAAAAACTAGTGCTGGTGTGATTGGGTGAAAGAACCGGTTGTGTAAAGCTTTGAGTGCTCAGAGTGGAAAAGCTCTGGGTCGATATAAGAAGCAGTCCATTTAGTATTACTGGGTGAGTTGAGCACTCTAGGTAGGGACACTGAAAATAGCACTCCATCATTAAAGTATAATATAAACTCAATTCTATTATCTACGGTTGTGAATCCATTTCACAACATATTCTCACTTTGAATTGCTTTGGTCCAAACCAGTCATGAGTCCACTAGAGAGTAATGACAAGTTAGCCTCATAAGGGAAGGGTTACTGGTGGTGGCCACGGACATGCTTTTTATACTTCCTGCTCCTCTGCATCTCTCCAGCTCTTCGAGTTCCTTAGACCTTATCCTAGCATCTCCTCTGCAGTGTTGAGATGCAGCAAACGTTCTTGCAGTGGCGCATACAGATGCCATCCAGGATGAGCTGGAATACATGTCATTGGGCCGTAGGTGTCATCTGGTAATAAAAATGGAGGAAAATCAGTCCCGTCTGCTGAGAAGAGGGCCGTGGTCTGTGCCCACCACCTACAAAACCATTCCCTTTTTGGGAGTTGCCTTGTTATTGTCTGTTTAACTGAGTTTGTCTTATAGCAGGGTAGGCAGCTCCAGGCCTTGAGGGCCGGTGTCCTGCAGGTTTTAGATCAGACCCTAGTTCATTACCAGGTCTCTGGAGAACTTCAAGACATGTTGAGGAGGTCATTTAGCCGCTTCAATCAGCTGTGTTGGATCAAGGACACATCTAAAACCTGCAGGACACCGGCCCTCGAGGCCTGGCGTTCGACCCCTGTCCTATACTGTGATGAGGTCTTCTTTTCATTTTAATTTTTTCAGCTGCATGTAGCAGTAAAATGCAACATTGTTGATCTAAATAAGACAAGAAAGCTTTATTAATAACTCCAGGCTGTTGTTAGATGTCTTCAGCCTTACTGTTCCTTTTCCAGGATTGGAACCGTACGTGGCACACCGATAATCCTGACTTCACCCAGTGTTTCCAGAACACTGTCTTGGTGTGGCTGCCATGCTTCTACCTTTGGCTATGTGCACCCTTCTACGTCGTCTACCTTCATACCCATGACCATGGATATATATGTATGAATCACCTCAACAAAGCCAAAGCTGTGAGTTATGGGAGCCCGCTGTAGTGGTTTTCATCGCTGCACTCATCTGTTCTCTCAGTGGAGCAAACCAGAAACTCGTTCAAACACAAATGTTTGAAGATTCGAGTCATGATGCAATTCCAACTTCAGGAAAATGGGATGTTCTGGAAAAATCAATTTATTCATTTATTCAGAAAAACAAATGTTTAAACTGAGGAAAAGGTACAATTTAAAAAAACAACAAGGTCATTTTGAATTTTTTTGGAAGTAACACATCTCTTAAAAACTTCCATGTTTCCCGCTGTGTGGGATTCTTTTAAAAATAGTCCGCAGTCGTCTGGGAGCTGAGACCTGTTGCTGGACTTTTGAATTCAGTCATTCAGGAGGGTGAGTAGAGGCAGGTGAGGGGTCCTGGTATCTGAGCGCCTCGCTCACAGTCGAGGGTTGTGGGCCTGTCCTAACCAGGAGGAAGGACAGTCGTGTTACTGACCTGTTACCAGTTAGCCTGACTGGTACCAAATGTTGCTACAGCTCTGATGTTAGTAATTATATTGCTGTTATCACAGTCATAATGACATTATCTATTTTTTAATTGCATGTTTTCACAGTTTAAACATTTGATGTTCTGCTACCCAAAGATATTATTATCAAGGATCACAGTTTAATCTAATCTAAACTGTTTTAATGACAGTGACTGAACGGTGTGTTTGTAGTTTCATTGGTTGGTTCCACTTGTCACGACTGTAACTGTGGGAGATGTTGGTCATATGTCTATAAACAAGATACCAAATGTATTTACCAACGAATTAAACAGATATTGATGACACACGTGTTAAATCCAGGAGCGATCTGTTTCCACAGGCTGTTGGCTTTTTACTTTGGATTATCTGCTGGTCAGATGTCTTTTATTCTTTCTGGGAAAGGAGTCATGTGAGCAGCCCAGCACCTGTCCGCCTCGTCAGCCCGACCTTCCTGGGCCTCACCATGGTGAGCGTCCAGCCTGTCGCTACCGGCTCTTTATGGAGCTGAGAAAAGTTCACATGTATTTTGTTATTTAGGGTAGTCTTTCTTTTTTCACTTAACTCTTAAATTTATGCTCTTTAATAAATGCTGTAAAAACTAAATAGACGATTTCTTTTAACATAAAAATATTTGCATGTGCCGCAGCTGTTGGCTGTCATGTTAATCCACTATGAGCGGATGAAGGGCGCTCAGTCATCGGGCGTGATGCTGATCTACTGGCTGCTGGCGCTGCTGTGTGCCACTGTCACCTTCAGGTCAAAGGTCTTCCAGGCCTTGGAGCAGGTTGGTGCTCAGTGAGCAGGACTACACTCACTTTACTTACATGATGATAAATAACTGGTTACTAATCGAACTGATGTTGTAGTGAATAAACAAAATAAGGTTGTTTGATTAAAAACATCCTCTTGTTGTGCAGCCTCAGACAGTGTGTGTGTGGAGGTACACCACCTTCTACATCTACTACGCTCTGCTGCTGATTGCTCTGTTCCTGTCCAGCCTGACCGACCAGCCACCCCTCTTTTCCCGGGAAGTTAAAGACTCTGTGAGGCTGCCTGACAAATCTTCTTTCCTTGTCACTCATTTATACTCAGATTACTATATTGCCATAAGTATTCGCTTACCCCTCCAAATCATTCAGCTCGGCCTTTGTTCCTGGAACTCTAAATGCTTCAGCGTGCCAAGACAGTTGGCACATTTTGATGCTCCCAACTTTGTGGGAGCAGTTCGGGGATGGCCCCTTCCTGTTCCAACGTGGCTGCACCGGTCCATAAAGACGAGTGTGCAGGCCTGTCAGGTTCTTCCACACCAAACTCAGAGTCCACCTCAGCAGAAGCCCTTTGGGATGAATTAGCAGAGACTGTGAGCCGGACCTTCTCATCCATCGTCAGTGTCTGACCTTCAGGAACAACGGTCAAAGATTCCCATAAACACACTCCTGACACTTGTGCAGAGTCAAGGGTTGAAGCCGTAGAGCTGCTGACGGTGGGCCGGCATCATGTTAAACCTCCGGATCGGGAATGTGATGTGTGACGGGGAAAGACGAATACTTTTGGTAGTACAGTGAAAGCGTTGCTGCATCAGTGTGTTCTGAGCTCATCATTTGTGTCTAACGATGTTTGTCTGTAGAATCCGTGCCCTGAGCCTGGAGCGTCTTTCCTCTCCAGAATAACCTTCTGGTGGATCACCAGGTAGGAACACGCCGTTCCACTCCGGTGAACGTGCTCTTATTTCTGTGTAACAAAATCTCACATTGGTCGGTATCATCTCTAAAGATTATTCTTATTGATATTTAAGACGAGGCTGACGTCTTCTGTATTGAAACTTCTACATGGTCCTTTGGGGCTTTCTGGAAACGTTACTGCACATTGAGCTTCTACATGTTTGTGTTTCATCCTCCTACCTGTCCTAACCTCTCCACCAGATTGATGATGACAGGCTACAGGCGCCCACTGGAGGAGAAGGACCTGTGGTCTTTGAACGCTGAGGACTGCTCCCACAGAGTCGTCCCACAGCTGGTCAAACGCTGGAACACACAGTGCCAAAACTTTAAAAGGTCAGGAAAGGGATCAAACTTCTTTATACAAATGCAGATTGTTTGGGAAACATGCAGCCAGGTTATTTCTCTTTCCTCTTCACAGGTCAGAGGAGAGGATGCTGTACTCGTCCAAGCGAGCGCCCCACAGTGAAAACCCTGAGCGCCAAGCTGTGGAGGAGTCTGAGATCTTGATTCTGAGACCTCGAAAGAAGAATAAAGAGCCCTCACTGCTGTGGGCCTTGTGCTTCACGTTTGGGCCCTACTTCTTCATCTCCTGTATCTATAAATTAATCCAGGACATCCTGATGTTTGTTGGCCCTGAGATCCTGCGGTGAGGAAACTGTAGACCCTTTGATAAGATGACATTGAGTCGTTGATCTGTCTGAAGTTGCAGCGTGCATTTATCACGCTCTAGAACTTTAATTGTTTAAATCATCGGGAAAACCCATCAGAGCCCATCTGTTGCACTAAATATATCTTTGCCAGGACTGCTGTGCCTCAACAAACTCCTCCCACACACGTTTTTGCTCAAGTCGAGCTCCGCTTGGCGCTCCATTCCCATCAACGGGCTACCCAAACCTGATAGGACTCCACCACCAGGTCTCCCAGTGGGACTACAGCATCCCCTGTGGAGCACCCACTCAGTTACCCTAAGAAGGCTGGGTGCTCTGAACTGAACACAAAATCTAAGAGCTGCAAATGTGAACCAGCTGGTGAAAGACCAACATTAAATTATTGCCCCCAACAACCAGATATCTCTAATCAAACAGCATCTTGGTTCTCTCGGCTCGTCTGTTCAGCCGAGCCTCAGGTGGTGTGATCTTTGGTTCTGCCATGTCCCTACAACAACACGCTCACCAGTTAATTAGGAACTGCCTTTTTCAGCTAAGAAACATCTCCAAACTGCAAACTTTGTCTAAATCTGAGTTAGAAATGGTTATAACCATTACCATTATAACCTTGTTTTTATTGTTTTTACCTTGTTTTTATTGTTTTTACCCTTGTTTTTACCATTATAATAAATAAAATAAATAAATAAAATGAAATAAAAGCATGAATATATTCATGCTTTTATTTCACCTCGCTTAGATTATTGTAACAGCCTTTTTCTGTGTTTGAGCAAAAGGAATCTTGAGCGTCTCCAGTTAGTCCAGAATGCTGCTGCGAGGCTTTTAACTAAGACATGAAAAAGAGAGCACATTACACCAGTGTTACGCTCATTACACCAGTGTTACGCTCATTACACCAGTGTTACGCTCATTACACCAGTGTTACGCTCATTACACCAGTGTTACGCTCATTACACTGGCTTCCAGTACATTTCAGAATTCATTTTAAAATCTTGGTACTGACTTTTAAAGCTTTGACTTGTGATGCTCTGCTTACATTTCTGATCTTGTAGAAGCTCACGCTCCCTCTCGCAGCCTGAGGTCTTCTAATCAAAGGCTGTTGGTAGTCCCACGAACATATTAAGACCAGAGGAGATAGATGTTTAGAGCAGTGGCTCCCAGGCTGTGGAGTTCTCTCCCTCCATCTTTACTTTGACTTGACTGTATTTATTCTTTTAAAAAGCAGCTTAAGACTCATTTATTTAGATTAGCTTTTAATTAGATTTGTGCTGTGTTTGATTATTAATTTATTTTATGTATCTCTGTTTTATGTTACTGTGAAGCACTTTGTGGTTTTATCCTGTGGAGTGCTGTATAAATAAATGGATTTGATTACATGATGACTCTAGGTGTGGAAGTGATGACAAACACAGTAGACAGTGCGACGTATTGCTTTGGGCTGCTCCGTGTTTTTCTGCTACATAAGTACACGATGCAGTTAAGGGCTGAGGGGCAGCACACGTGCTCAATGTTCCTTTGTTTCCTGTTTCTCTGTAGACTGCTTATCCAGTTTGTCAATGATTCCAGCGCCCCCTCCTGGCAGGGCTACTTCTACGCTGCTCTGCTCTTCGTCTGCACCTCCGTGCAGTCGCTCATCCTGCAGAAGTACTTTCATGTGTGCTTTGTGTCAGGCATGCGCTTACGCACTGCAGTCATCGGAGCCGTCTATAGGAAGGTAACGGACAAACAAGTGCTTCTTCAGATTGTTCGTGATGAAGGTTGATAAATGTGACTGTTATTCTGTCCGTCACTGGTTGCTTTTGCTGAAAAGCCTCCATCTCATCGCTTCATCTGCTCCTCAGGCCTTGGTCATCAGCAGCGCGGCACGGCGAGCCTCTACAGTGGGAGAAATCGTCAACCTGATGTCAGTGGATGCGCAGCGCTTCATGGACCTCATCACATACATCAACATGATATGGTCTGCTCCGCTGCAGGTGGTCCTGGCCCTCTACTTTCTTTGGCAGGTCAGGTTACGTAAACTAAACTTTAAATATATTTTTAAAATCAAATGTTTAATGCTGCTTACATACTTTCAGTATAAAGAAAATAAACATACTATTGTGTGTTGGCTCGGCTCATGAGGCTTGGGCAGCGAAGCCTGATTGTTCCTGTGCAGGAGGGAGTCCAGATGATGTTTCATGTAATGCTCGTCAGTTACAGCTGGTTTCTCCATAAAGTGCAACAAAATCTGTTTTTAAAGTGTCGCTCTGCTCGTGGAAGGATGGTTCCACTAGTGTGAATAACACTGTGCCCCACAGGCTCACACTGAAACCGTTTGTCATGTGTGCAGAACCTGGGCCCGTCTGTGCTGGCTGGAGTGGCTGTGATGGTCCTCATGGTTCCTGTTAATGCTGTAATTGCAATGAAAACCAAAGCTTACCAGGTGGGACTTTAGTGTTATTATCCCCACACCCTACACCCGTATACACCCTCCTTACATTTTCATGCTCTACTGTTATTATAACTATGGCTGGCTTTCAATCCTTCAGCCATGTGGCGGCTTTCTGTGTGGAGCTTACATGTCCCCATGCACGGTGCTCCTGCTTCATGCATCATTGGACGTTTGTGTGAAAGTCTTTGTGTTAGCCCCATGACAGACTGGGAGCGGCTCCAGGGGGCATCTCGCCTGGGAACGCTAGGATAGGCTCTAGGCGCCACATCTACCCAATCCTGGGACGGATGCACATCCATGTCAGACTTTACTGGAATTACCACATTTTCCAGTAAATAATGGACAAGTTTCCAATACATACATTTGATAGAATTATACATTTCAGTGTTTCCCAACCTTTAGAGGCACGGTTCATATTTCACATTAGAAAAATCCCGCAGCACACCACCAAACAGAAATGTCAAAAGCCATACGGATCATTCTTCCACCAAATATAGCAGAACTGGCTCGTTTGTCCCCAGTATACCTTCTGACCACTACTCATGCTGGGCCTTCATCTGGGTCGAGTTTTCTCCAGGACCAGGTCAGACTGAACACTTTTTCTTTTTAAACATCGTCTCACAGCATGACTGTTATTTAAGTTCTTCTTCTTCTGTTTTACTGCCAGTTGGCAACACATTTATTAGAGCAGGTGGTTGTACTGCCCTCTAGTGGAAGAGAATGTCATTGCTGCCCGTTAGTCACGCTTAGAGTACCAATCAGGTGGAACCAGATAACCTCCACGGCACACCTACATGCCACGGCGCAGTGGTTGGGAAACACTGAGGCAGATAACAGGCCTAAAATCTGCAGAGCTCTGTGTTAATGCACAGTTTGCTTTGGGTGGTCAGCATGTCGATGCCAGTTCATTTCTGTTAAAGAGTGTGTGAGTGTGTCGAGTGACAGCACAGTGATCGTTTTCATTTATGCGCGCACACGTTGTTAGCTTGTAGCTGTTTGTAGCACAGTGTTGTGTGTTTGTTGCAGGTGGCTCAGATGAAGAGTAAAGACAATCGCATTAAGCTGATGAATGAGATGCTGAATGGCATCAAAGTGCTGAAGCTTTACGCCTGGGAGCTGGCCTTCAAAGGAAAGGTGTCAGACATTCGTGAAAGTGAGCTGCGTGTCCTGAAAAAGGCTGCCTACCTGGGGGCGGTGTCCACCTTCACCTGGGTCTGTGCACCATTCCTTGTAAGTGTGACGGGAAAAGAGCGACACAAACATGACGCACATCCAAACGAGCAGCTGCAGTTAAACCAAACACAGCACTTTACTGTCGTTAATGAAACTCTCATTGCGCTGTCTTTTGCATGTCTGCACAGGTGGCCCTGTCAACCTTCGCTGTGTACGTACTGATTGATGAACAGAACGTGCTGGACGCCCAGAAGGCCTTTGTGTCGCTGGCACTCTTCAACATCCTGCGTTTTCCTCTCAACATGCTGCCGATGGTCATTAGCAGCATGGTGCAGGTGTGTGTCCTCCGTCTTCTTCGCACACTCATCCCGTCACAAAGAAAGCTTCACCAAAACGTTAGATGGACACCAGTCTGTGCCAGTGCTCAAACTGGGATGGTAGGATTGGTATACATGAGCTTAAGGACCTTAAGTAAAAGCTTGGATGTTTTTGTTG